CCGGGGAGACTTCAATATTTAACTAATATATATCGCGTTTTGAACTGTTAAAGTGTTTTATTTAAATGTGCACTACTCGCGTAAACTACAGACAGTATTGGATTCGGGTGTTTTAAATGTACAATGTTTTATATTAGTTTCTTTTTTATTATTTATTGAAAAATTATTGGATAGTAAAAGCTGTATCATCGACATCGACAATCGAACCTCAACTAGCTACTAGCTACCACCTTATCCTCATCAAATTTGTTCAGTCCATTAATACATGCATCTAACGCGCAATGTAATTTCAACCCTAACCAACTATGATGGAAGTATGAAGTTTAAATGGTTTTCATGGCTTAATGATATGTAATATCTATTATGGTGATATCGATTTTCTTAATCGCTCATGTAGACTCATACTTCTTTTGGATACTATTAGGTGGTGATGGTATAAGATGGTCAACGCCCTCGCCATTTTTTAATGATAGACCAGGCCAGACAAGCATGGAGTTAACTTGATGGGAGGCAAAATTGACTGGGGTAGTCAAATAAAATATGAACAAGATGCGCTGTCGACCTTTTTTGGCTTTGGATATTTGGAAATCCACATACTGAAACGCGAATAAACTTCACGGCCTTTTTTTCCGTAAATAGTGGTTCGTGACAGGGGTGATTTTGTTATCCCTACCACCACCACCACCATTTACCACCCAGGTCGAAGGCCAACATGTTTGGACCCTGTGGGGATGGAACCCGTTGATTATTAACCATACAATGCTACCATTAGACCACTCAGCCTCTCGCTGGACGCACCCACCATCATCATTAACGCGACCCAAAACGCAAGAACGGCTTTGTCTCTCGTCGCGTCACGTGGGGGAAGTAAAGTCGGCCGCGCTGCAACATCGATCGACACTGACTTACTGACCCACTGCGAATGGATACAGCTGAACAGTTATATCGATATAATTTTTTCTACATTTGCGAGATCATTTGAATTGCCATGCGTGCCTGATGAAGACTGAGAAAAGCAGGGTAATTAGTTTTGAATCGATAAATTATTTGTTGTATTTTGCAAATCTCAATATTTATAACAATATATTTAGTTAAAAGCTTTTCTCATGGATTTTAAACAAAATGATGTTTCCCAGTCTAGACGAAAATACAGCTGTAAAAGCTTGCAGAAATTAAAGAGGTTTTTGAACTCAGCGCAGTATTGAAGCGGTTCGCTTTTTCACCTCCAATTAAAATAATTCTGCGGAGTGCTGTCACCATTTGTTATTTATCATTACTTATTTTTAACAATAGACTTTTTATACGGACACAACATTACTACTTTCGTGTCTAAGTATAAGTTTTGGCAAATAATTTAACGTACAAGAATGATTCTAAATCTAATTACCGAACACGCAGTCAGATAAGATGTAAAATACACACTTCACGTCAATAATAAAATTATAATAACGCGTCCGTCCAGCCCGCATAGGCTTACCCGTTTCTTAGCCATCACTTAACCACCATCGCTTAAAAATACAAACTCGCGTGCACTCCCCTATAGCACCAAAATGATACTGCGGAAACAAATACGAGGGGGTTGAAATACAGCTTCAAAGTTAAAACAGCTTAGCTGAATACCGGAGACGAGCGGAAAAACGTTGAAATCTCTGAGGCATAAAGTTCATTTTCATTTGTAATTTGGTTAAATAAAAATTGGACTCCATTGTTGTGTGATGGAACGCCATTCTATCAAATTAATACGAGGAAAATAAACCATAACTCTTCGACAGTAAAGTCTTAATTTAATTGTTACTTGATCGTATGTAACTATTTTTATTTATGCACCGCTGTGCTTTTCAATTTATCTGAATTCTCAGTGTGTTATTAATATTAAACATTATTAATATTTTTTTAAATGTAAATTATATAAACGTTAATATGGATAGGTAAATAAAAACTTCTTTTGGATAATTTGAGTTTTGTTACAAATAGTGGTAAGTTTTTAGGCGAATTTTCATTCACTTCTAGGTTATCTATTATCTCCAATACTATTTAAAGGAAAAGAAAAAAGTTTAGACACTATTGCGCCTGCGTGAAGTAATAGAAAAAAAGTGCAAATGGCTAATACCTGTTGCTTTTGCAATGTAAAAATCTCTAGCACTGGTTTGCACAGACACCTCATCATCTGGATGACACGCAAGGAAACTTTTCGGTTAACGCCTTTTTAAAGCGGATCCTATCCTCCGGGCGTCACATTGCCACTGAATAAAACTTGCTGGAGCCTACTTATCACTGAACGTACTCAATATGGGTAAGTCAAGAAATTCTGACGTAACGGAAGCCGTACGAGGGAAACCGTTGAAGTTCACTCGGCTTTTAACACTTTTACCTGGTGTTAGACGAGGTGCAATAGCGTGTGTGTTTGCTACCTATCCATTGTGATAATCCGTTTTGTCAAATCGGTGTGACTTGGCACGCCTCGCATTTATTATCTGTGTAGAAGTGTAGGGATTTGTATCTACATATTTATTTGTTTAACATTGACATACAAAGAAGGAATTATAGAGCGAACTAGGTATTTTTGAGTATAAGTTATAAATATTTTAAACTGAATAATTACCTCGGAATCAATGCAATAAGAACGAAGAAGACCTTGCTTGCTTACCTGTAAACGGATAAAAAGAATCGTATTAAAATTATGAATGTACCTTCGAAGTTGCTTACATTTACTCATGAAATATTCTGCATTGCTGCGTTTGTCATTACGGATTTATTTTATCTAAAATGTTGTCAGGGTTCCGTACGGAAAAGAAGAAACGGATCTCTAATACTAAAATTTCAGTGTCTGTCAGACTGTGTCACACAGTTTTTTCGTTTTATAAATTTCAGCTGTCGCCATGACAACAAGTATTAAAAATAAAATAAAATTACTATTTAATAGGGAGCTTTCCTATAGTACATTGTATAGGTCAAAAATTTTAATTTTATCTCGGTTACTATTATTATTGTCTATAGATCGTTTCAGGTACTTGAAATATTCACAATATTCTCATTTAAATAAAACACGCTTAACGGTTTCGAACGCGATGTGTTAGTTAGGCTTATTTAATTGTATATTAATTTCAAATACTACATAATTAATACATTTTGAGTTTGAAACCGTTAAACATGTTTTATTTAAATGTTTATTATCGCGTAGGCTACTGATAGTTCCTAATATTCTGTTTTTTTTTTGTGTAATAGTACTATTTATTTTAAGAAATTTAAAATTTGTGGCCTTTTTCGCTAGCCAATAAACGATATAATACTACTGTTACGTATATATACAATGATAATCCTTTATTATTTTTAATATAATTGAGAAGTGTCACAGAGAAAAATAGATTAAAAGGAAATGCCAAAGTTCTCATGCACGACTGAAATGTGAGCACTTAATTTTATCAGCGGGTGTTAAGAAACGAACTCGCTTGTATTGGGGGAACGCGTTCACACACAATTAATTACACATGCTAGGCATCGGGTCTTTTGATAGTGGACTTGCTTCAGTTACTATTTAGTTAGTGAATCGACAAATGGACTTTAGGATTCGTAATAGATTTGCTATTGGATCAAACCCATTTGGGTTTTCAAACATAAAACTAAACAAAACAAATCTTTAGTTTTGTCTTTGTTGTTTTTTTTTCCAAACAAACGTTACAAGAACATTATTGAATAGTTTTTACCTCTATATGGTTCTTGTTTATGCCTACATTTTGTAGAGCTAACCAATTTGTTTAGTTTTTCTTACTTTATTACGTTTTCCTTCAAATCTTATCTTCCGTTTGATGTGTACATAGAAGTATGGACAGTTTTGGATTTTAACAGCTTTGGATCGTCGTGCCTTTACGAGTTAATGGCATCATCAGAAAATGTAGAGCTTCCTCGAAACAACGACATCAAATCAAAAATCCACGTAGTTTTGCCGTGAATGCGCTACATAATTTATATACTACTAGAAATGCCCGCGACTCCGTCCGCGTAGAATTGTTATTTTGGGCAACAAACCTAATCTTTATACATTATAGTCGGACGTTGTCCGCGTCCCGTCGTGCAAGTCATTCTTAAAATATAGCAAGCAAAGAAACCCCACAAAAAGGAATAGTTTTCCTCATTTTCCCCCGTTTCCCAGTGTTTCTTTCGGTCGCAGCGTGATGTTTTATACCCTAAAGCCATCCTCGATAAATGCTCTAACCAACACAATTTCAATTCGAGCCAGTAGTTACTGAGATAAGCGCGTTAAACCTAACAAACTCTACAGCTTTATGATATTAGTATAGATAGGCACTTACTACATTTTAACAACAGATTTATCAATGATTTTATGAATTGACGACTAGGTGTAATTTTTTTAATGATGTGACTGACGCACACATATCATGCTTACAGATATTCCGATATTAATAATGTCCTCCAAGGCCGTTCACTTGCCGCATTATCGTGAATATATTGCCAACCTTTCTCTTATCTCTTATCAATTACCTATCTATGAGATACTAATCAAGATATTGACTGCTCGGAAATAGTAGCATACATAATATATTTGTAACGCAAACAGATTATGCAAAACAGCCGGCCGAAAGGCCTGTCCACTACACCATAATGTACCATGACTATAATAGGAACGCTATCAAAAAACTACTTTTTTTGTATTGCAATAAGTATGATAGTGTTGTGTCTACTTGACCATTGTGGCAACTAGCAATACCGAAGCGTACATCATTTTAGGAGCGTCGACTATTCGTGGAGAACAATTTTCCGTACTCGAATACAACGCTGTTCGTTGGTATAATCTTAAACTTTACAATACTAGGAGCTTTAGTTACCATTTCTCTGGGCATAGTAGAAAGTATCGCGTTGCTTTTTCCAGCGCGAATAATATGGTACTAAGTAGGTAGGCATAGCTTAAACCTTCAAACAGCGTCAGTAGATTAACCTTAAATCAAACGTTACGACGATATAAAGATGTTCTCACAAATTACCTGTACTGAAGAACGCGGCGAGACGGGCGACGTGGGCGTCTTTGTGGCGCTCGGTTCGGCTCTATGTTCCGCAAGCACTCGGTGCTCGTGTTTCGTCCCCACCACCGACCGTTTGACTTGCTCCATCCTAGCCTGTATCGCTTTCCTGGACATAACTTTGGTCTTTTCATCTTTCGTACCTCCGTCAGCCAGCTTTCTCATCAAGCGAGCCGTCGCTGCCACAGAGTGCTGCTGAGTATCTGAGTTTGTTCTAGCTAATCTGGTAGCCGGTCGGGTAGCAGGAGCTGTTCCGCCAGTACTGCTCCTCGTCGTTTCGTTTCTGTTGAACGGGACAACATCGTGTTCCGTGTCCGAATCGGCTGGTAGGTATCCTCCGCCCCCGACAGAGGAGACTCCGGTGCGTAATAAATTCTCATGTTCCGCGTATCGCACTCTCTCGTCGACTTCTAGTGTTCCGTTTTGAGCTCTCTCTAGACCCCGTTCCATTTCCCCGATTTGCCGCTCCAACTTTCGAAGCACATCATCCGAGGGTGGCGTTGGACCATTGTCATCCGGTGGTTCTGATGCTTGGAATGATTTGAGATGTATAGGATGTGCTCTGTTCAGTTCTAAGCGTTTCGGAGCTATTCCCGTCGACGTTACTTGGTACTGAGCTCTTTGGGGTTGGGGTGTCTTTTCTAACATAGCCAACGATACAGGAGAGGGTGGTGGGGCGCCATTTACAGCTGGACTATCCGGCGCTGGGGATACTCTCGGAGCTCGAAAGCTCTTCCGCATGAAGTCCTCGCGAGTTAACTTACGCTCCATGTTTACTAAATCACCATTATAACTTTATATCACTTAGTGAATATTAAAGTCACACATACACATCAGAGTTCTATCAGTTTCCCATACTAACACCTAAAATGAACACATAAGAACTATTATTAACGAGATAACAGACATCGATATCTAAAACGTGACCGCCGCTTATTACTTATTGATGGATTGGCAACGATCGATATAAAAACACAGACGATAGGTAACAATGACAACGCTGGCCGACCACTTTTGAAGACCTCGGCCAACCTATGACGTCACTCGGAGCAATACATCAAGAATTCAGTTGACGCACGGACGCTAATACTATCCTCATCAATTGTAGATTTACAAATCGATGATATCAATTATTGAGACAACTTCACATGGGCAGAAAAGTTCAAATTTCAAGGTGATTTTCTTGTCTATAACAAGAAAATAAAAGCCGTATAACAGCAATTGTAGAGCTTTGAGTAAAAGAAAACCTTAATCAACTCGTGGAAAGGAACGATAGAACTTGCCAACTTTGTTAATATGAAACAACAATTATAAAAGGTATTATAAATGCAGATTACTTACTCTGAAGTAATTCTGTATATAAGAACTGAATTACATAAATCGACAGTGAAAATTGGCAAAAGACTACAAAAACATTGAGTCATTAGTTACAAACGAAGTAAATAGAAACAAAACGGTAAAAATAGAACGATGAGTATGCGAAGGTGTAAAGCGTGAACTTTGTCTTAAGACCAACAAATGGACAAAAATAAAGCAAAATTGCCGTGTGACGTCACGTCCTTGGCATGAGTCTACTTGTTCATACTTGTACTACGTCAATTAGACGTTAATACTTGTAATGACTTTGCCTTTCATTACACAATCCATTCTGCATTTATGTTTCAAGTTGCAAATAACAAACTACTTCTGGCGACACCTTGAATACATAGCAACATTCTTGTGCTTGAAGAATTAGACATTAGGCAAATGGGATTTAAGGTTGATCTATTGACTGAAATTCTTAAATGACAATAGGTTGTCATATTAGAATTTCCCAATAGTAATAAACCAATATCCACCGGAGCTCGCAAGCCAGACAGCCTCGTTCTGATATCTGGAAAGAAGATAAGCCATAGTTAGTAAAGAAGATCAGACCGATCACCGTGAACCCAAAACAGTTGCTGCACACAAAGCTCTTGTACCTGTAAGAGACGCACAAACACCGACACACTTCAATCCATAGGACGAAAAGAACAATGAAGCACACATAACGTACACAGAACACAATTTCCAATATATTTTGACAGTCAATGGATAGATGAGAGGAGTGATTACAATATGGAGCAATATTAAAGATAAGAATAAAAGACAAGTAGTTGAACCAAATGGAAATCTTAAATGTAACGGCCGGCCTTTGCAGGAACTCGGCGTAAAATTCTGTGAAAGTCGTCGATTATAAAAATATATTTGCATCTCACGTGCTCCGTTATTTTTGGAACGATTCTCGTTTAATTCGCGTCTATTAACACGCGAGTTATGAATTGAGTGGCAGCGGGCGAATTCGGATTTTTCGGATACCGTCAAGATTTATGAGGAAAGGCATAAACAATCCACATGTTTTTGCGATCTTCTGTAGAATGTTAATTGATCACCAGACAATACGTTTGGAAATTTTACATTACACATTACTTTATCGTAATTTTCTTTTACTATTGACACGGATGACACTGTGTACAGGTTACAAAAATCGGAGTAGTTAGTTTTAAAGACTAAAAATATAGTTCGCGTTTCGTCGTGTGAAACGGCTGATGTAGCTAGTTAACTGTGATTTTCTTATGGATGAAAACAATAATTCTGATTTCCGCTAGCTCTTATCAAACATAAGCCAAACGTTTAATGAACTTCGCGTGACTTTGTGGCGGAAACCGTCGAATATAAATCTGATTTCTAATTCAAATGAAGGTCAGTGGGGCAGTTGATCTGAGATTTTTACCCATTCTTTACTAATAGTCTCTTATCCATCAATCTGCGAATATTTTTGTTCGTTGTTTTAAAATATATAATATTACATAAAAAAAGGCGCCAAAAAGGATTCTTGGGAGTTAAACTGATAATTACACAATCGTAATTATAACCTACGAAGTCAACTTTCATGTGATATACAAAAGCTAGTGCGAGCTGTAAGCTCACGCAAAAGGTAATATGGGGTAAAAAGGAATAACTTATGTATACGCTTATTTCGTATATGTCGTTTGTTTTCTTGTGTATGTTTTGACATGCCTAATAGTGTGCTGTCAGAATTAGCATGGCTATGAAGATGTACATATTTAAGTACGCCAGTTAAACATTGACACAGATGTACCAAAAACCGTTAAGCAGATTAAAATTTCAAGCCAAGTTGAAATTATGTGCGATTTATTACTGTTTTAGCGAGGTGAACCACTTTCAAAATTTAAGGCAACCGAATAGTGAGCTATCGTGACTAAAATGCTTCCACTAAATTTTAAATTTCGTTTCAGCCTATTATTGTCCCACAGCTGGGAATAGGCATTTTGCTTTCTCCCCCGTGGCCAGGGCAAAAATAAGGTAACAACAATGTGTTTCGCGTTATAAACCGTTAAATTATTTATTTAAATAAACTACATTGGTTAACTTGGAAACACCGCGACCAAAACGCTAACAATATAATAGTGCGTACCTACTTAAATAGGCTGACCATATATATACGTTGAGATTTATACTAACACTCCTACGCAAATCGACAGCCATCTTTAAACGGATCAAACAAATTCGCTATTTAGTAGCACTGCGCGCTCAATACGTGTCTAACAGAGCTCGACGGCGCGGCATTTTTTGTTACCGTCCGAACCTGTTTTGTGCTGACTTTTTTCAATAAAAAAAACCGTCTCGGGTTATCGGTACGCTCTTTCAAGACGGTAAACGTTTAATCGAATGTAAAAAGACACGGAAACTGCGGACTCTGAAACGAGAAACGTGTACTTGAGTGAATCTCGGGGCGAGTTTGTTGTCTTTTGTTCGCAACAAAATATGCATGAAATATATTCCGTCCGGGTCACCACAACCACAGAAGAAAAAGCCAAAGAGTTTAATCGCGTTTCAGTCTGTGGATTTTCGAATATCCAAAGCCGAAATAGGTCGCCGGCACATCTTGTTTAGATGTGATGTGAACCCCATGTTTGCCTGTCCTTTTCTGTCGCAAAATAAAAACAAAATGAAACAAAGTCATTGCGCTCGTAATAATGGGCAATTAAACAGGTGAAGTGATATGTCGCTTATTTATTGCTTAATAACAATTTAATTACGGACTTAAATCACAAGGCCAACAGCTGGAAGATTAACAACTGGTAGAAACAGTTTGAGTCTTTTTTTCTACGCTACAACTTTAAATATAACTTTTAACGGTTTTAAACGCAAAAGTTATTAGTAAAAGTTCATTTCGTATACTTATTACTAACAAGACCCAATCAAAGCCAAATTGAAACTGATGGCGCTAACGTAGCATTGTCTTTGACATTAGAGGGTGTCTCTATATTTAGTCCTCCTTCCAAGTAATTAAATGATGAAATCCTTGAATCCGTTTAAATGCTAAATTAAAAAAAATAAGTCAAATAATATTTGTCACGTTTTAAACGTGTTTTATTAACATGTGCCATAAAAAATTGTTAAGAGACAAGCAACCAAGTTAAATTTTTATTACAAGAATTAACATCCCACTGCATCATTTTTCAAAACCGCTCAGTGACTAGAGACTTTGGCAACGATGTAGCGTGTTATATGATACACTGCAACCAGTCAACTCGTCTGCCTGGCTTGCTTTCGTCACAGTGGATGGCTAGGTGCCTACACAGTCCATAAGTATACACAGTGGATGACCTAAGTAGCTAGGGCTGGCGACAGTAGTTTAAGAAACGAAACATATATGAACGGGTACAACTTGACGCAATACAAGCAAAGCTTATTGGGTTTGTTTGTTTGAAGGCGCTAATATCGGAAAGTACTGGTTCGAATTGAAATATTCATTGTATTTGTTGGACCATTTATCGAAGTAGGCTGTAGGCTATAAAACATTAGACTGCCACCATAGGAGCGAAGAAAACAGAGGGAAAAGTGGAAAACGGGGAAAATTATAATTTATAAAGCTGAGGAGGCTTTTTACAAAAATGATATAATGACACTTATGTAGAAGCTACTTCTTGCTTTTTAATTTGCAGAATCGATAGTGCTATAATTCGTACTTGTAATTTATTTCATACGACATAGTGTAAACTCGGTTGGCAACCCTACGAGTGACATAAGTAACAAACACATCGTGGGATGACTCACGGCACAATCAAGTTTTGCGTTAACATAACGATCTATGTCACGTCCTTAGTAAATTACCGTCTGAAAATGTGTAAAATATGTTTCCTGTGCCCTGTCCAACGAAACCATTAACTGTTTCTCCGGGTTTCGAACCCACGATCTCTAGTTAACGCAACACTAGGCAACACGTGTCTTGTTTAAATTGAGGCTCTCAAATAAATGTTTAATGTATGTGAAAAGAACATTTCGCAACTATCTAAACCGGCCCCATTTCCTTTAGACATGTGAACCTCAAACAAAAAAACTGCGCAAACGGCTGCGGCGAGCATGACTCACGCGCAGCGTATAACCTGTCTATATTTCGAGGCATTTAGCGCCATATGCACATATTTCGCCTCGACGATCAATTGTCAACGCCATAAAATCGAATATATAAATTTTTTACTAGAAAAAATTCGTATGATAATTCTTCTTTATATGGACCTATTTAGTATGTATGTATTTTATACACTGCGATATTTAGAAACATGCGTAATGAACAAAAATAAGCATAGATAGACAGTATGACTACAAACAAATATTAAAAGAAGATGATATTTTCAACATTATCAAGACTTGACAGGGTTGATAATGAGCAGTGGTGGTCACGAGGAGACTGCTGCTGCAAAGCATCCGAAACGTCGGGCCGA